GCAACAAAGATGGGCTCTCCAGCGCCGGCAGATGCAGGTCCTGGCGGGAGATTGCAGCGTCAGAAGACACGGCGGCACGACAACAGCGGCGACGAGGGGCACGCAGCGACTGAGCGACCGAACGCGCCGCCGTCGCCAGCTGCCTGAGGGCTGGCCGTCGTGAGAGGCACGGGCCACAGGTGAAGCTTGCAAGGTGATTTGTTGGAGGCGCCCAGCACTCTGACGCTGTCAGCCGTTGCGCGCTCTCGACCCGCCTTCCACGCTGCAGTAACTTTCAATGCGCATGGTTCATTACGTAGCGTTCCGGAGAGACACCGTCGACCGTGTTTCATGTCACACGAGCACGTGGCGGTGCACTCGTGACAGCCACACCAACAGAGCGAACCACGGCTACCGTCTCGCAGTGCCCGAGTGAGCACCAGCCGAGGCCGGGGTTGCGGTGCGGTGCGTCAGGGCTGAAGCTATCGTCTACCGTTAGTCAGGAACTGAGCGGAACATGCCACCTGCATCGGCGCATCCGTACGACCATCCACGTAGCCATTCTAATACCCAGGTAGCCACCTTTCCTCGTATCAACAATTTCAGACTCAGCTCCTTCTGCGATCTCCGCCAAACCTACCCGTCGAGTACACCGCTTCAACGGTGTAGACACATTTCTCTGGTCTCCATGTGTCCTTCTACTAATCCGTGGTGGGGCAGCGGCTACCTGCCTAGGTAGGTAGCAAGCACCTGGGCAGGGTCAGCCTCCTCACGTAGGCCGTAAAGCGCGACATGTACACCCACCAGGAGCACCATCATCAAGAGCAGGAACTGTTCTCCTGAACATCTCCAATTCTTGACGTGGGTCAAGATGGCAATCTGTCAGCGTCTCAACTCTGCCATAGGAGTGCCTCGAGCGGGGCGTGTTCTTCATTCCCGGCATCGTGAAGCTTGCCATTCCCTCGCAGGCACCTTCAGAAGCTGGGGGTCGGCGTCCGAGGAGCCCGCACACCATCGCAGCATTTCAAGCACTAGAGCCTCCCCGCGCATCCATGTCCTGGGCCTGGGAAGTGTAGGCACTTTCACAGCTCACTCGCTTGCCGAGATACCCGCAAGGCCAGTAGTAAACCTGCTGCTACATCGTCCTTCTCTCATGAACGAGTACCTAAGAAACGGGAAGAGACTTCTACTGCAGACTTGCGAGGGCCAACAGATTGCCCGAACTGGTTATGACGTGGAAGTATTGTACGGAAAAGAATGGCACACGGTGCAAGAGCTGTGCATAGCTGGGAATGCTGAGGTACTACAGCTACCAGGACCCCCAACTGACGAAATTATCAACGATCTTGTCGTATGCGTCAAGTCTACGCAGACTGTGGCAGCCCTCCGACCTCTTCTACCTCGACTCTCGCGCACATCAAATGTTACATTCCTGCAGAACGGAGCAGGCATGATAGAAGACGCAAATATGTTCTTGCGGCCTGATCCACACACGCGACCAAATTATATTACGGGTGTGATCTCGCATGGTATTACTCTGAACGGGCCCTTTGATGTCACCCACACAGGGCCAGCAGCAACATCGGTAGGCCCCGTCCCGCGAGAAGATGGCGATATATCACAAGCACCTTCGCCTCTCCTGGAACTCCTACCTCTTGCACCTCGCCTGAACTGTCGGTCTTACCCATGGCCCACCATACTCCAGATACAACTAGAAAAGCTTGCCTGTAACGCTCTCAGCAACCCTATCTGCGCGCTCGAAGATGCCGTAACCGCATACATATTAAGCATCCCAGAAACCAATACGAGGCTCATGCGAGAGATCTCGTCTGTCATCCTCGCTTTACCAGAACTACAGGGCGTAGAGGGAGTAAAGGAAAGGTTTTCAGCGAAAGCCTTGCATGCTACTGTTATGGATATAATCGAGAAGAACAGAGCGACGACCGTTAGCATGGTATGGGATATGAGGCATAGGAGAGAGACGGAAATCAGATACATCAATGGATACTGGGCAAGGCGAGGACGGGAAGTGGGTGTGAGAACGCCGCTGAACGACGAGTTGGTAGAGAGGGTGCAGGCGATGACGAAAGACAGACTGCGAGAGACAAAGTCGTGATATGAACATTCGGTTGCATGCTTAGAAAAGCTTTGACATTGACCAGTCTTCGCATTTGCTGCCACGCAGGTGATGATGCATGGTTACTAAGAACATGTTGGTAAAGTGGTTCCGCTACCATGGAATTCCCACGAAGCTAAGGCTGCGCCCCACTTCCAGATGTCTCGACCTCTTCACCCATATCGATCGCGTGTTTGATGCGAGACAGTTCCATTGTGGATTGGTCTTGTTGCGAAGAATTTCGTCGTCGAGGAGACTTCGAGCTGCGAGTGCACGCATCCGGTAGCAATACTATGCCGCAGACTTGGTAGCTCACGCCACCTGGGCTGACAAACGGCGTGGTTTGCTGCGCGTCGCGTTACTATGGTGCAGCATCCCACATGCACCCGATGCACTCGCACGAGACAGGCCCAACAATGGCGCTGGCCGGTAAAGACCGGACATGACCTCATTGCTGTAAACTTCGCGGACCCTTAAAGGTAGCTGCGCCCAACAGCCTGCCACCACCACATCAAACCAACTACTTTCTTAGCATCCAAAGCTTCATCACTCTGACAGCTTGGCAACATGGCGCAGGATCTACGTTCGCAGGATATCAAAAACCCAATTGACGTTGCAGAGGTAAGTCATGGGTTGTACACGCGTGTGAGAGCGCGCTAGCTGACAAGAACCCCAGTACCTGTTCCGTCGACTTCAGCAAGTCGGCGTTGAGTCCGTCCATGGCGTTCCAGGAGACTACAACCTCGTCGCACTCGACTACATCCCCAAAGTCGGCCTGAAATGGGTCGGCAACTGCAATGAGCTGAATGCTGGTACGTGGAGCTTGTTCTTGCGTTCGGGCTATCAGCGGCTCGCTTGCGGGAGCGACCGAAGTCGATCCGTCTGTCTCATGCGATAGGTGCTGACGATCATTACAGGTTACGCCGCAGACGGCTACGCAAGGGTCAAGGGCATTTCTGCATTGGTAACAACCTTCGGCGTGGGCGAATTGTCTGCTGTCAATGCCATCGCCGGAGCCTATTCGGAATACGTCCCAATCGTCCACATCGTCGGCTACCCATCGACTGTATCTCAGAGGAACGGAGCGCTGCTGCACCACACTCTTGGAAATGGCGACTTTACGGTCTTCTCGCGCATGTCCAAGGAGATCTCCTGTGCTGTCTCGATGCTCAACAGCCAGCATGAAGCGGCCATGCTGATCGACAACGCCATTCGGGAATGTTACCTGAAGTCGAGGCCCGTCTACATCTCCTTGCCTAGCGACATGGTAACGAAGAAGGTCGACGGCGATCGCCTCAACACTCCGCTTGATCTGGAATACCCGCAAAACGACCAAGAAGCCGAAGACTACGTCGTTGACGTGGTACTGAAGTATCTGCACGCGGCCAAGAACCCTGTCATTCTTGTGGATGCATGCGCTATCCGCCACCGAGCACTGAAGGAGACTCACGAGCTCATCAAGAAATCTGGAATACCCACCTTCGTTGCCCCAATGGGAAAGGGTGCGGTAGACGAGACTCTGCCGAACTATGGTGGTGTTTACGCCGGAGACGGTTCAAACGCAGGTGTGCGTGAGCGCGTTGAGTCGTCCGACCTCGTGCTCAGCATTGGTGCTATCAAATCCGATTTCAACACTGCAGGCTTCACCATTCGCATGTCACAGCTCACGACTATCGACCTACACAGCTACGGATGCAAAGTACGATACTCGGAATACCCTGGTGTTAGAATGAACGGCGTGCTTTCCAAAGTCACAGCCAAGCTGGGAAAGCTGAACATCGAATCTGGACCCAACCCGAACAACAACGTCCCAGACAAGGAGACTTCATCGACAGAACCAACCATCAAACATGCCTGGTTCTGGCCGAAGCTTGGTCAGTGGTTGAAAAAGGATGATGTCCTCATCACCGAGACTGGTACCTCCAACTTCGGCATTTGGGAGACTCGCTTCCCAGCAGGTGTCAACGCAATCTCGCAAGTTCTCTGGGGCTCCATCGGTTACGCAACTGGCTCATGCCAAGGCGCTGCTCTCGCTGCGAAGGAATCGAACATCAAGCGAACTATCCTCTTCACAGGCGACGGCTCCTTCCAACTTACCGCCCAAGAAGTCTCGACTATGATCCGTAACAAGCTGGCTCCCATCATCTTCGTCATCTGCAACAAGGGCTACACAATCGAGCGACTCATTCACGGATGGGAAGACTCCTACAACGACGTCCAGGAATGGAAGTACAAGGACATTCCCCGTGTCTTCGGCGCTGAAGAAGGCAGTGTACTCACATACAGAGTGGAGACGAAGGAGGAGGTTGAGAAGCTGTTCCAAGATGAAGAGTTTAGCAGTGGCGAGACGCAGAAGATGCGGTTTGTTGAGTTGGTCATGCCGTGGGACGATGCCCCGGCGGCTTTGAAGGCAGTTGCTGCTGCGGCGGCTAAGACAAATGCTAGTGCGGAGTAGACAATGGATCGAAGGAGCGACTGATGATTGACGATGTATTAGCAAGGCGAAGACAATAGGGTATGGCATTGCGTAGGATTCTCTTCTCTTATACGAATGATGATAACATGACTCTCTTCATGTACAAAATTCCCGTTGATACTTGCATGTCGTCTTCATAACATCAGCCTTTTATTGCTGTTGCCCCCTACGAGCACGTCGTCGCCGTCCACATCCACGGCAAACGTCAGAGAGAGAGTTTCATTGATTCCTACAGTTGCATACAGCGAGTACAAGGTGTTGGAAATACACCTGCATTGAGATCACTATATAGAGTTACCGACTGCGTTTTGTTGCCCTGCTCTGCATCAACACTTCACCGTAATAACATAAGCCTTTGTGGCCACAGAACCAGACAGCAGCTATCGAGCTAAACTTCCATACTCATGACGCTGGCGTCGCCTCTGCGTCTTAGGGGTCGTCATTACCCACATCCTTGTCCCCATCCTGACCTTTATCCGCAGCCTCGTTCCTATGCTCATCTGTAAATAGGTTTTGGTTCCGGCCCTGGTCCTGGTTATGGGCATTCGCCGCGTTCTGGCCGTAGAAGCTCCATACCACATTCTCCCAGTGGTCTGCAGTAATCGTCTTACCCGCAAACATCTTGAGCATGTATGAGAACTCTTCGTCAGAAAGATTACCCTGAGGGGGCACATAGGAGGACCCATCGACTGCAGGGGTGTGCGAATCTGTAGATGGCGCATCGGGTGTCTGTGGGCAAACTCGCTGCAGTGTGTTTTGATACTCCAGATGGTTGACGGACTCTCTAAGACGGATGTAGAGTTGGTTCATGGCGTCGACCATGTCGCGGGTGTCGTTCTGTTGGTCTTCTAGCGCTTTGATACGGGCTTCCATATCGCTATTCGCTGCAGTACCGGTAGTAAGAGGTCCAACACCTGTATCATGATCTGTTGAAGTGGGACGAGAGGGTTCCACGTGAGGTTTCTTCTGCTCTTCTTTCTTCTCCTTAGCTACCCGGGGAACGAAGTTGACTGTCTCGCCGTCTGTAGTATGGATTTGGATAGCGCGTGAAGAGCGTTTGGGCTGCAGAGTAGCTGTCATACGATCCGATTGACCAGCCTGGTTCTGAGCCGCGTAACGGAACAGATCTCTAGAGGAAGAGCTTGATGGGGAAGAGCGAGTGGGCAGAGACATCCTTGAAGCCTCGTCCACCGCGCGACCAGCTTTTCGTTCGGTCCGCAGACCAGGGAACTCGTCCATTGCTTGGTCGGCGTCACGCTGAGAGCCTTCATTTTGGGGTACGCTAAGGCTTGGTAGAAATACGGCGCTGGGTCGAGGTTGATTGATTGTGTTTCCACGTGCACCAATTGTCAACCTGCCGTTGTAGTCCTCGCCAGATGGCCCTCTGCCAATTGCACTGTTGAGTCCCATCCTGCCAAACTGAGACAAGCCGTCATTGATGGAAGGGCTGCGATCTGGCGCAGGTTCTGCAGCGCCACTGTTGTGCCCACCGCGGTTGTTGGTGCGCTCAGTTCTGTTCGAGCCTCTGCCTCTTGCCTGTCTTCCCCTTCCAGACTCATTGCGACGGCCACGCGACTGTGTATCGCGAGGACCCGTAGGCGCATTTGCTGGTGGGGCGGGAGCGTCTGGTTCATTCTCGCTGTTCGCGCCACCAGGAGCCCACTTTGAGCTGTTCATATTTCTTGTGTTGTGATTCCGCGTGGAGTTGTGCTTGTGTATCAAAGAGGGTGACTGATCCGAGTTGGAATGCAGGATGAGAGCCCGAGCTGGTGCTTAATGTAGGAAAGAGCAATCGCGTCAAGGGGAGCAAGCGGATTTGCTCAAGCAAGCAGTGCAGAAAGTGTGGAAAATGAAGCCACGAGACTGGAAGTGTAGCTCATAGTGCGTAGAAACAGTCAGCAGGGTCGCGCTTTGAGTTAGCGCAGGGAAACGATGCGTCAGCTTAGCTCGCATTTGCTGTGTCGTGTGCGCAATCTCATTTCGCCATCTGGATTTCGTAGAGCTAACGGGTCGAGGTTGGATGGACACAGACAAGGACCTTAGATCGTCTCTCGGATCCTGTGAGTAAGTAGGTCTGATCTATCCACTTCTTTCTCATGCGTTGTATTCTTGCATGCGAATGCAATCCATATGTATTCATCTATCGTTCCCTCGTATTATCTTCATGTACCAGCCACCTCTTTTTGTCCTTTTCTCGACATGTCCTTATTATACTCCTCTCCTAATCCTAGGCTCTTCCTTTACAAAGCGATAGCAAAACCCACGGCTACAACCGCAGTGCTAATCGCCGTCCACAATGTCCTGCCACCAATCATGGCGCCACTCGCGTCACCCGAAGCAGGGCCGCTCGAGCCCTCGCCATCTCCCGTTGGGCTCGGCCTCGGGGGTGGGAAGCTTGTGTTGGACGGCACGTCGGTAAGGTTCTGCACGGTAATCCAGGTCGCTGCAAGAGCCGTCGTCAGGTTCGCGTCGGCCGCAAACTTGCTGACGTTGAAGCCCACTCGGTTGTCCGCCAAGTCCGCGTACATGGAGGGTATGCTGAAGTTGCGCGGTTGTTGCATGAGGATGAAAGTGTAGCTGTGGGGGCTATCGCCCACTGGAGGTGAAGGCTGGAGGTATGGGACGGGGTTGTCCGATGGAATGTCGAGGGCTGAGCCAGTCGTGTTCGCGGAGATGGGAACAGAGCGTGTGACGTTGGTAGCGATCCAGTGGACTAATTGGACGCGTGAGTTGTTACGGGGCACGTCGAGGTCGACCATGATGAGGACGCATTGGCCGGGGCCTCGCTCGTCGGAAAACCATACTGGCGACGAGATGGTTGGGGGTGATGCGGTTTCTGGCGACAATGAGTATTAGTCTGTGACGACAGCGGATGGAACGTACCGGGACGAGGAATGCGCTCTCCGCCGGGCGACACGGTATTGTTGCCGTACGTCACGGTCAAGTTCTGAGTGACGTCGATGGGAAAGCCAGGCGCTGATCCCGCTGTCGCAACACGTGCGAGTAGCGCAGTCGCGCTGAGAATGGTCTTGGTGAACATGGTTGGTGTCTTGGCTGGTGTTGTAGTCGGCGTTGTTGTGGAGCGGGTCGTACTGTTGTGATGCAGTTGGTGCTTGATGGTCGAAAAGCAACGGGCGCAAGCAGCTTCTTTAGTATTTTGGCTGAACCTGCGTCGGCTGCGGGAGCGTAGGGCTTGATGCGCAGCTAAAGGCCTATTTCCGTGTAGCCGGCGTGACAGCAGAGGTTCATGACGTTTACCAAGACTCGGTCCCTTGCTCGGGGTATCGCACGGCCAGCGGACGGCATCCCGGCACAGCTCAAGAAAAGGCTGGCACTGGCCGCCTGAGGGGCCTTGTTCATGCCGCAGCCAGAATTATTCCAAGCATCGCGCTGGTCGCCTCGGCCTCAGAAACATCGTTAATCGAATTTACCATGTTGTCCGCGAGTGTATGTAAGCACGCGTCGTTATTTGGTTGCGGTTGCGACGCATGCTCGCCTAGTTGGGGCCAAAGGGACGGGAGCCGGCTGAACATCCAGCTATTCAGGCCGCCCTCATCGCACGACGCCTGCAATTAAGCCACGCATGAATCAAGTATGCCTGAGATTTGTCTATGCTCTATGGTTTCGAGGCCTTGCATCCTCACATGGACTTATCGGCGGCAGCCCTATCACCTCTCGCTCGGGATGCAGACGTTGTGTCCGCACAAGCGCATTGGTATCAGAAGCCGCGCCTCATCACCAATCCTCCAGGGCTATTATAAGGTGATCATGTGGTCTCGCGCAGGGCCGACACCAATCCATTTGACCTTGACTCCGACGAACTTCTCAATGTACTCAATGTAACTCCTCGCTTGGTTGGGCAGGTCGTAGTAGCTTGTCACGCCAGTCGTCGGCTTCTTCCAACCTGGCAGTGTATCGTATTGTACTTCGACTTGGGCAAGGATCTCGGGATTCGCGGGGAAGCCTTCAAGCACCTCGCCCTTGTACGAGTAGGATGTCGCAACCTTGAGCTCGTCAAAGTCATCCAGGACGTCGAGCTTAGTGAGGTTAATGGCGGTGTAGTCGTTGCACGCGTGTGAGTGCTTGACAACGACCAGGTCGAGCCAGCCGCAGCGGCGCTTGCGACCGGTTGTAACGCCGACTTCATGGCCGACTGACTGAAGCTTCTCGCCCACCTCGTTGAGCTGCTCGGTAGGGAAGGGTCCGCTACTACTTGTTAGCCTCTGAATTTGCCTTTCGGGGCGATGCAACTCACGATCCGACACGGGTAGTGTATGCCTTGACAACGCCAATGACCTCCTTCAGTGATCGCCATCCCAAGTTGAGACCTGTGATGACACCTCCAAGACCAGTGTTTGACGATGTGACGAAGGGGTATGTGCCGTAGTCGATGTCCAGCATCAGCGCGTTCGCACCCTCGACGAGGATTTTGGCGTTCTTCTCCTTTGCCGATGCGAGGAGCGGGATCTGGTCGACGACGTAGGGAGCAAGCTTCTCGCGCAGAGTCTTTGGCATTGTCAGTCTTTGCCCCGTATATTCCAACCCCATTGTGACTCACCTTATACTTCGTAATCTCCTCTTCCACATCGTACTTGAGTAGATCACCGTATCGCTTCTGGAACGAGTTGGCTAACCTCCTGAGCTTCGTCTCGAAGATCTGCTCGTCGAAGAGGTCGCACATGCGGAGGCCGCTCCTGGTCATCTTGGTGCTGTAGGTTGGGCCGATACCCTTCTTGGTCGTGCCTGCATCCCGCCATCAGCACGTCAGTCCCGCAGCAGGCGCGTGTGCTCCTCACCAATCATGCCACCACCCAATTCCACCTCCTCCAGGCCATCCACCATCTGGTGCACATCAAACACGACATGGGCGCGGTCCGAGATGAATATTCTTCCGTCCGTCTTCAATCCGTGTTTCTCCAGCGCTTCCAGCTCCTTGAAGAAACTGGGTACGTGAACAACGCAGCCACTTCCGATGACATTGATGCAGCCAGGGTTCACGAGACCGCTCGGGAGGATATGGAAATCGTATGTCACTCCGTTTGCGACAATGGTGTGTCCGGCGTTGTTACCGCCCTGGGCGCGGGCGCAGATTTGCGACTCATGGGCTAGGATATCGGCCAATTTTCCTTTTCCTTCATCTCCCCACTGTGCTCCGAGCACCACAGTAGTCGACATCGTGAAGGCGGGAGACAAGAAGGAAAGAGCGGAGGGGCGGCAGGTGGGTTTTCAATTCCGCGTTGACTCGATCTAACAAATTCGTGCCCCACCCATCACCCCGCGATGCCGCAATTTTCCGCACGAGCCACCAGTGACGCATGTGAATGAGCCGCAATCCATGTGTCTGGGCTGATCTGCAATCTTCGCAATCACAGCCTCTACATTGCTGTACAGCTACGTCGTTATCGTGGTAAACGCGTCAAGAAATTAAGAAATCTCATTCCTAATATCTACAAACACTCCCAGTGGAAGTTTAGTCACATCCACACCTATCCTCCTAACCGCGCCAAACACCCGGACCCGGCGGCTGATATATTTCTGGTGCCGCTGTATACTTGTTCAGGTCGACAAGAATTCCCGGGTCATTACTTCTGCGGCCTCATGTTAGCATGTTCCTGATGCTCATCGGTTTGACTTACTTGTAGGCACCTGGGAACGCAACTAGCGGACTCGGCAGCCCAGTCCCTCCCCCTGTTATCTTGATCTGCGAGCAAGCCAGGTAGAACTGCGCTTTGTTCGCTTGCATAGCCATATGCAGTGCGATGTGCTCAACGCGGAGCAAGTAATCACCCGATGGCGTGGCAGCAGGGATTGTTGCGTTGGGTGTGAGATACTCGTCTGCGAAACGTCATTAGTAAACGCAAAGTGAACAGAAGGAATAGCTTACTTTGTCCCGGCCAGCTCATCTGCTTCTGTGCGTTTACGCTCGGCATCGTGGTACTGATCTTGAACCACACTGCACCACTCCCGTCCCAGCTCTTCACATCCTTGCCATCGGGAACTTTGGCGAGGTAGTACTGCGTTGGTCCCGGGTGATTGACTTGCTGTGTGGATATGTAGTGGATAGTTGATCCCGCCGGTACGCTTGCGACGTTTGGCGCGGTTTTTGACGTGTAGCAGCGAATGTCCGCGACCGTGGGGTTCTGGTCAAGTAAACATCCTAGACAGTAGTAACTCGAACACTACCTTACCTCAATCCCTTGCTTGGTGTTTGCATTCTTGGTCTCGCGGGTCGAAGCCCAGTCTTTGTCTTCTGGCTTGCCGTTTACGACAAGACGTGGGAAGGTATCTATTCGTATGAGATTCGTGTCACTAGAAATCATTTGATACTAACTCACAATGTGCCTTCACCGCCGTGGCGGCTACCAGGAGTGCAATCAGTATCTGCATGATGAGAGATCAGATCTTTGCGCTTGAGAAGCATTCAGCTCTCGCTTGACATCTTATGTATGCTTCATGACCCCAGTTCCAAATCGGACATGTGAGCTGAGTTGAAAACTATCGGTAGATTAGCTTGGCGGTTTGGCATACACTGAAGTAGTCTACTGCAGACCATACACACATCACAATATACCATCATCGACAAAGGAACCAATAGACATCAGCCTTCTTATAAATCATGTGCCACGGTCCAGCATCTATTGAAACAAAGTAGGCCAATGACTAGACCGCATACTGCCGGTGGCTCATCAGATCAATCGTAAAGTTCACCATCACAACGAATAAACGGAGAGTTTAGATGCCCATATTTATTGGGCAAGCTGTAAGGGAAAAGTTGAATTCCCAAATGCCCTACGCTAACATCGAGCAAAGTAAAAACGAACGAAGTGTTGAGGTCGTATTGAATCGTAAACACACACATCTAGTGCATGTAGCGGAACTCAGGGTGTCTGTATCCGAGATCCTTGATCTGAGCAGCGGTCTTGCCGACCAAGCGGTGGTCTCGCCTGCCCATATCACGCTGCTTGTTCTCCCACTTACAGTAGCAGATACCGAATATGGCGAGAATACAGACGCAACACTGACCAACCAAGTTGATAGTGTGGCCGATTGGGTATCGTGGCGCGTCAGCACTTGTGTAGGTCCTGTAATATATTAGCCTAGGATCTGATTCAACTCTCCAGATGATTTGACGTACCAAGTCGCGAGAATACCTCCAGCGGTACCCAGTGTGACAACGTAAGCAGTCGAGACGGAGCGGATAGCAGGGCCGGCCGCATTGTTCGCCGCCCACGCAAGGAAACCAGGACCTCCGGGAAATGCACCAATGGTGATCAAGAAGATACCGCCATATCGGACGTTAGGGTCGGTCGCCCATCGCATGATCGAGAAGCCCGCAATAGCGGGGAGCGTAAAGACAGCGAGGTAGACACCACGGCGGTTCGTCTTGTCTGATGCGAAAGCTATTGCGATAGCGATCAAGCAAGCACATACATAGGGTGGTACTGAGTAGAGTTGTGCCTTGGTGGCCGTCCATCCGAGATCCCTGAGGATAGTGGGCTAGTAATGTATGTTAGTAAACCATAAGTTATGGGGAGGATATCGGCTTACCATGAACAGTGAGATACCCTGTACAGTGATGTTGATGAAGAAGAAACCAAAGGCACAGAAGTAGTTTGTGATGTTCATCACGGCCCGCTTGACGTGGTGTACTTCAGTCTTTTCGTTCTCATCAGCTCCTCCTTTCAGCACCAGTCTCTGTGTGGCAATCATTCGTTCGCGCTCGTTCAAGAACCAGCATTCTTCTGGGCTACGAGGCATAAGAAAGGGAGCAGCAAGGCCGACAATGACGGTAAAAAGTCCCTCAAAGAAGAAAATGTTACGCCAGGTATGGAGAATCATAGTCGAAGCTCCCCATGGTGGAATACGAGCGAGACTATACTGTAGTTAGTCTTTCATGTAATGTCAAGAATGTGACAGGACCTACGCAGTAGCGAGAAGTCCACCAAAAGCTCCAGCCATTGAGGCCGCGGATACGTAGATACCAATGCGGAACAAAAGTTCGTTGCGCTTGTAGAAACATGTGATGAAAAATGCCAATCCCCTACAGACTGATGGTTAGTATGCACTCCAAACAACGATAGAAGGTACTTACGGCATCACACCACCTTCAAACACACCTAAGAAGGCCCTTGCAACCAACAGCCCTGCGAAGCTGCTCACAAAGGCGCTGCATAGTGAGACGAAACCAAAGCCACAGACGAGAAGTGGCAAGTAGTATTTCGGGCCAAGTCTCTTGAGAAGGATGTTGCTCGGTACTTCGACGAACATGTAGACAATGTAGAAGATCGAGGTAACCCAGTTGAAACGGACACCTGTGTTGAGACCCAATTCCTCTCCCATACCCTGGATACGCGCGTTTCCAACATTAACACTTTCAAGGTGGTTAGCGAACAGTTTTGCGCAGAGTGAAATGATACGTACCGATCGAGGAAACAGAGCAGGTAAAGAAAGGTCGTGAGTGGCACAATCACGCGGTCCAGTTTACGTCGAACCTTCTTCTCTTCCTCAGCTGTCCAGGTAAACTCGCCGTCTGTAGATCGGTCGCTTCCATTGGCCTCCTCAACTAGCAAATCCGTCAGCACATGTTCGCGACAAGATTAGTAAACAACGTACAAAGCACATTGTCTCCCTTCTCCAGCTCAGCAGGGGTTGGGTGGTTTGGGTGTGTCCCCGTCGATACCATCCCGATTTGTGCCATCTTGTCCAAGTAGGATACCGAATTCGAGATCTAAAGGATGCGAAGCGAAATCTCTTCGTTGTGTCGTGGCCCCACAAGTTCCGAAAGTCTGGGGAAAGGAATCTGGGGAAGAGCACAGCCCATATAAGAACGTACGATGCGTCCCGGTATCCGAACAAGCTTACTCGTCGCACGTCTGTGTCTTGGGTCGCAAGTCGAAAGCCAGGAAGAGGGAATCGGCAGTTACTTCGCAGCCTTCAGAGGATGGCAATACGGCACCATGTTTAGCTTGATGTCCGCTCCACCGCGCGCTCTTGTCCCGTTCCAGCTGGCGGCTTGATTGAACAGGGAGCGAAGTCGGTGCGGAAATTTTACCGAGTCGACACAGAACCCTACATAACGCCGCATAATTATCAACGGCCTCCTCCTTGGTTGGCGTGTTGCGGGGCCGTTCTCTTGGCTGACATGGGTTGACTCGTGGAGCCCGCGAGGGTGACGGGCGGATGCTTTCATTGTGGTCATTTTGAAACGCCACGCTTGGCGAAGCGGGACGAGAACTTTCGTGTTGCTAGCAGCTCGCGATGCGCTTCGGCAGTTCTGTTCATCTTCTCAGTGCTTCCTGATGGTGTTAACAAACTGTAGTTATGGAGTTCTTCTCCTCATAGATTGAACTGGGGTAGGGCGGATGATTGCGGTCAGATTACGGGCGTAATGTGTGACAGAAGATTTATCCACCGTGGACGAGTTTTGCTGCCGCACCAACAATGTGGGTGATTGACTGCTGCATATCAGCGCGGCAGGATTGCATACGGTCTACAGTATTCCAGACAACTGGGTATCCTTGCCGCCGAGGTCTAAAGTGATGCAACTGGCAGCCTTCACAGATCATGATGTACCTTTGCTGCTCATGCAAACAATAACATCCCCGCAATTTAGCCGGAATCCTTTGTCGTCCGGTGGATTTTCTGGGTTTCTTTGTGCCTTTCCGAGCAACAAAATGCAAGAAATCCACCGACGCGTACTCGCAAGTAGAGCTCCTAAGCTTCTCAGCGAGTAGAGTGTGTGATAGGGTCCATCAAAGTGGGCGGGTCTCGTAGCTGGACTGTTCCGCTCGGTCTAGCCGTATAGTGGCTGCAGGTTTATGGCTCGCACAGACGCAGAATGCAAAAGCTTTGGGAAGTCGAAAGACGCGACTCGGTGGCCGAAGATGGCTGTCAGTGCTGCGAAGTAGGACGGGCGCCGGCGTCGGGGAACAGGACGCTCTTGCCAAGCTGCCGCGCCACGTGGCTGAGATACTGAGCTTCACAACATTGCGACTTCCATAAATACATACTGACCTACAGAAGATCAAACAATTTCAATTTGACAAGGATTCGCAATTGCAGTATTCAAAGCGCCGATCATCTCCAGAGCCTCGTCCTCAGAGCTTCAACTTCTCGAGGCGCCGTGTCAACGACCCACGACTCCACAAATCATCGCGTCAAGGGCCACTTCCCCTCACAAATACATGAACCTCCACAGTCGCACACGGGAACGGATGTCCCTTCTCGGCAACGCTACCTTTGGCGTCTCGCCTTCGTCTCCACCAACTCCTTCATCACGTCTCTAATCTCATTAGGTCTTACCGGCGCGTCATCCAGATCCACCTTGGAAGCTGATGATACTATAGATGCGTGGGCTTTGGCGGCTTGGGTGGCTTCTCCGGCTTTCCCTTCGGTAGGTGATCGAACGCGGCAGTCGTCTTAAGGGCGGGTTTGTTCCCGCGATCATCCTCGGTTTCGGCTATTCGATCATGTGACCACTCTTGGACATCGTCTTCAGCAACTTAAACTCCAGAAAGATCAGCTTCAAGTTGATAGAATACACGTCGAGAGTTCTGCGCACCATTATCAGAGAGAGCTGTTTGCAACTCTTCTCGAAGCTCCAAAATTGCGATTTCCAATGCCATATTCTGGTCGTCCATTTGTCGGACGAACTCAGCTTGCTCTACCGCCAAGATGTCAAGTTGAGCATCTACTTCTTCGCTATGGCGCTGACCATCTGACAGTAGCTCTTCCAGGGTTGCTTTAACCTCATTCTCAACCAAATCCAGGTTATCTGCAAGCTCATCTCTCTCTTCTTCCAGCGCGTCCATCCGTTCCCTCAACTCATGCACTGTATCTGTTTCAGCAGCGTGAGATCTAGTTAATCGCGCGAACGCTTCATCGCGATTAGCTTCTTCTTGCTCTAGACATTCTCCGCAGTTTTTGTCCCTGTCTTTCTCGAGCTTTCTCCAAACAGATCGGTGATTGGCAGCTTCTGCGGTTTTGGCAGTGGCACAAGACCATGTCGTTAGATCTAGATACCCGCAGGCGAATGTTGTCTCGAGATCGACGTGAACACAGATGTCTGCTGCTGCTACCTTTAAGTCCTGTTCACGCTCAGCTTTCCGTTGCTGAAGCATCTTAGCAGCCACGGTCCCAGCATCTCGAGCCTTCTGTTTCTCTTCGTTACGTTCGCGACGGAGGCGATTTATGAGTTCCGTTACACAGGGTCTGCATTCGTACTGCCTTGTCCTAGTATGGTCTGCAGTCTTCTTACAACTCCTCTCCCCACAGGGGAGGTTAATCTTGCTCTCGTGGCCACAGTCGTACGTAATTACGA